GGTTCTCTTACAGTCAGAGCAAGTCTAATCAATAGTTCAGATGTTTATTGTGCCAGAAGTATAGACATACTCTGCAGTTAGACATATAGAACATTATCTATTTTAGCCTGTCTGCTTGAACAATCCATAGTATAAACAATTCGTAATATAAGCGTTGCTGCAACATAATCATGCGATGTTTATGATCGTCGGGATTGCGCGTGAGCATTGTATTCTCCACAGCCAATTGGAGATTCGACATACATATATCTATGCTGATAATAATCAGGCAGGCAATCATGTCTTTAGACTTTGACAAAATGAATAGCATCGTTGATTCGCCCTTACGTCTTTCATCTGACTACGAGAAACTTTATGAAAGTGGCAAATATACAGACATTTCAATTAATGTCGGAAGGGAACCGAATAGCAGAGTATTTCACGCTCACGCTTTGGTATTACGTGCGAGAAGCACGTTTCTTGAGAGCAATCTAACGAACAATACGGGAATGGACTTGGTTATAAAGTTTGAAGATATCACACCCGACATTTTCGAGATCTTGCTTAGGTAAAGCCATAAACTTGACAAAACCTTTTTCCAGCAAGCTTTCAAGCATAGCATGCTGTCAATATTCATCGCAAACTTAATCTTATACAGATTTATTTATACTGGACGGATGTCTTATGATCCATGCAAGAACATTAACTGGATTAGTCTTTTGAACGCAGTTGGCATGTTTGAACTGCATGATCTTTTCGTTGAAATCGAAAGTTATTTGATCACTACACAGACGGAATGGATTCAGCGAAACATTCTTACAGTTCGCAAGTACGCTTTATCTGCGGGATTCTCAAAACTGCTGGACTACTGCGATCGAGCCGTGGCTTTGCATCCAGAGGCTGTCTTCAGCTCGAATGACATTGCAAGTTTACCAAAGGAGGCTGTGATTACTTTTCTCAAGAATGATAACCTTGATATGTGTGAAGACGACATTTGGTTGTCAGTTGTACGGTGGGCCATTAAACAACCACCTGAACTTGGAAACGATCCAGATAGTTGGACGTCTAATGACATTAGCAGAATCATGGATATCACAGCTGATTGCATACCTCATATAAGATTTCATAACATCTCTCTGAAAACGATTGCCCTGTATGACGATTTATTACCAAGAAAGTTGCGCCGAGATTTGCTGAACTATCATGCTGAAGGAAACTATACACCAAACATGTTACCACCAGTAAACAGATTAAGATGTGTTGATTCACACATCATTAATGAATATCAAGTGGAATGGATCTCATCAAAAATTATGGAATCAAGGGCATCAAAGAATCAAGATGGTTTTTGTAAATTTACTCTGCTTTATAGACAAAGCAGGGATGGTGATTATAATTCAGTGGCTAAGTTTAGAGAGCTGTGTAATAACAAAGGAGCCACAATTGCTGTTGGGAAGGTATGTGGTACTGGTGAAATACTTGGTGGATATAATCCAACAGCATGGGGTCAAAATTGTTATGTCAGCACTGAAGAAAGTTTTATATTCGCGTTAGATATAGACAATTTGTCGAATAGTATAGTAAGTTTTGTAGATGATAGTAAATATGCAATTCATGATGATGACGAGTGTTTTCCTTGTTTTGGAAGCTTTGATTTATTTTTTGGTGATCAGCAATGTTTACCTTCTGCTGAGAGGGATGCTTATAATGTTCCACTAAGGGTTTCAACAAACGATTTTGAATGGGTTGATTGGGAGGTGTTTTCCGTTTTGAGAGTATAATTTTCTAATAAATAAAGTTTTGAATACTAGGAAAGTTTGGGTGCTTATTATTATTTCTTGAGTATACTGCCCGGACAAAAGTGAAAATCTATCCACAAAATATACATATAAAAGTCTTTTTTCAACAATTTCTCCCACCAGTGTTACTATTACTATGCAAAGTGCGTATTTTTATAGTTTTTGAAAATAATCAATTGCGCGCTTTTCGAGAAAAAATAATACATATTAATATTTTTGTTATAATTAGTGGTAAAGTGATATGCTAATACATGCTACGAACACGTGTTCTTATAATTATATACACAGTGACGCTCTTTATAGTGTATCAAAAAAATCTATTAGTAAAAAATTCTCAAAAATTCACTATTACTATATCGAGAGTTTTTGAAAATTAATTTAGTAAATACACTATATTGGATAGAATTTATTATAGATGGGTTTGAACCTCTATCGCGATTTTGATTAGTCTCCACTAAAAAGAAAATCCACTATAAAGAGCGGCACTCTGTATTTATTATACTGTATTAAAGACAACTACTTCCACTTTGCCACAGCTTTACATTTTTAGTATCAGACAAATGCCGTTAGATGTCAGAGTTGCCTTGTATACAGTATTTTTGTATTGTTCACTAACCAGATCTTACTAACTTGTTACTTAAAAAATTTTCTATAACCATTGTTTGAGTCAATAAATATAAACGCAAAAGAGCAATCGATTATCGATTCTGAGAATTTGCAAAGCTATGACATCTACTTTTGTTTGATACTATTACTATTTCGACGCCGTCACTTCTTCGAGTCATGTAGCTTTTAGTTAACATACTTTATACATAAGAGTTATACCTAATTAGTCGTCCACATGTCTAATTTAATTAACGTATTGCATAAAAGTACATTTTATATACCATTGCTTTTATATTAAATAATTGAATAGTTAGCCAGTTATTCTATGCATTGAATAGAAACGACGTCCGTCCACCATTACTATATATCTTTTATAGCCTTTTATTCAAAATGTCGCGCTAACCCTATTAATAACATATTGTTTTTGCATGTCATAAACGATAGTCAACTACCTGTGCCACAAACGAATTCAATCTGTGCACCATTATTGTTATTATTTGAAACGTTGTTTACAGTCTATTCAATGCAAAACAGCTATACGCTCGGCATTTTGCGACAAATATTTATTGGTACTGGCTTTCACAATGTGTCGTAACTTCAGTAATGCTCCCCAGACTGCCTTGTTCTATTTATTTACATCCATCGAATCTCTTAACATTTATGCCAAACATGTACACAGTAAATTACATCGAGTAAATTAACAATTGTAAGCAAATGGTAATAACAATAACTAATCGCAATATATTACAGGCAGAAAAGTACTACAAGTCGGCCAAAATATGTATGTGTTACCCATAACGTAGGGAGAATGTCAAGGATTATTCATCTGTTGACTATTAATATACTAGAACTGAATACATTGCAAATTAGAATAGATAATCTGATCTGTTAATAAAACGCTCATTCTAATAATTACCTTGTGAGAATTCTCAGTACGACAGAAAAGCAGTGTTTTCTAATTCGGACTTTTGTCACTAAAATGTGATATGGTGGCTTCTATCACTGTCGGTAACCTGCATCAGTGATTTAAGTTGATGTCATGTTATACATACAATATTCCTCTATTCTTTACAATATGGGAAAATGGCGCCTTTTACTATGAGAAAATTCTGGGTGAGTGACTGTTGAGACAATTCTTCGCCCTAAGTTAAAAACGCATTATTCCTGCTTATCGTAATAGTAAGCAGGAGAGACTTCTGTTTGCACGCACAAGAATAAAACAGCACAGCTAACATTTAATTATAGTCAAAATTATGTTTTTTATTATACGTGCTGATGCACTAACAGACGATATTAAGTTTAACACTTTTAATATTTCAGATTACATGGTTATTATTGCATATTTTGTAAGTAATCTATGTTACATTAATAAGTCCAACTTTTCATTTTCGTACCTAATTTATTGTTTGCATTGTATAACAATACTAATACCATTATGACAATTAAAAGTATATGCATGAATAACTATTGCATCCAATCAGCTTGGCCAAGTAGCAGACTCACCATTCAGATCGTTCGCAATCAGCAAGGAGTCTCTCAAATTCGTTCCAAGTGTTTCGTTGGATCCGTTCACCCAGCAAGCCCGCCAGGAAAAGAAGAAAAAAAAAAACGGAGTTAGTTTATAACGTAAAACAATTTGATACTTACCCAATACTTACCTACGCCGCCTAAAAGCTGTGTAAACAAGAAAGAAGACAAAGGAAATGTTTCGGGCATACCGTACCAGGATTACTTCACTGCAGGCGAGTACTGGAAAAGTGGTGCGTAGAGAGGCGTCACCGGTAACTACTCACCGCTCCGCGCCCGTCCGCTAGCAGAAACAAAAGTAAGCAGCTGCCTAGTAAACCAAAGTAAAGAGCAATATTCAATTAATTCAATTATTGTCTACCCATTTAAGAGCCGGTCAATTTGACTTTTTTCTTCAATAATACAAAAGCTATTGTTGTAGTTAATTCACGTTTGCGTATTGTTGTTATCATCATTCGTCCAAAACAATTTTTATATAAAAGGCAGTGCGACCAAAAAACTGATACAATTGGTGTTTCTGGACACGATAACTTTCTTTTGCGACAAAATTCGACCATGTGACTTGTTTGTTTGATTCATCAATATCTTTTGAAGTGTTTCCATAAACTCGCAATTCAATGAAAAGCTATCGCATAGATAGCAACAGGGCGTTCCATTCAACTAAAAGGCCAAATTTACCAAAACTTTTTACATCATAAATATCGCTCGTTTTTGTCACATGACAATATTCGATAATCGTTTAAGGTTCCATTTAATAGTAACCCAACTTCGGAGTATCGGAGTTAATGACTGCAATGCCCGCTTCTACTAATCTAACCTAATTAAGTGGATAGTGATAGTAAATTACGATTACGTCATGACGCATGTAAGATTATATTGGAGCCCTGCGCTGATTATCATCCTCTTCAACGAGATTGGATGGATATGACAAACGCTCTGTTTCACGTAAATGCGCTATTACGTATGAGGATAGCTTGTGTAATGATTCAATTTTTGAGTACAAGACAATTAGTTGAAAAAATGCTTACGGTTAAAGGACAATTTTGTTGAAATGTCTGAATCACTGTTGATACAAGATTGGTATATTCAATGAGAGAGAACGTAATCGGCCAGTCTTATGCACAATACGATTTTACACATTCACACGCATGTCAGTGTAACGCTTATATTCCTTAATCACTGCATACTTAATACTGTCCTACTCAACCTGCTTGTTTGTATCAGGTTGATAAAACGACTGCCCCAACTATCCACCCCCCAAAAACTATCTCAAAATATCTCAAACTATCTTTTTCTTAAATATCAAAGTCATTCCCAAGAAAGACATTATAGTCATATCGTGTCCTCGTCGTATACCTCTCAACACTATAATCAATCCTTACATTATCATGAACGCCAACGTCTTAGCTACTGAAACTACCATTGACCGCTTGCGGTGTGAAATACCTACGCCACCGCAAAGTACAATCTTGCAAACTTGTGGCCTAAGTGCCGAAAACTCTGAGAATTCGGAAAATATGCGAGCTGATACTAAACCAATGGCCTGCTTTGAATATGACGACTTTACATTCTCCGAAGATGATGACGACGAGGACTATGACGATTGGGAGGGTGCGGCGACTTTTCCGTCGTTAAACGAAATCTCTACCAACGATGGCAATGACAGCCATCAATAGACAATTGAGTGTTTTTACCTTGTATTATATTCCTTTCTGCTTTCTAGAAGACAATTTCAGCCTTTAAAAGTGTGTAGGTATTCCGTTAACAATTCATTTTTGGTCGCTTGTGAGGCGGCTACAATAGGGTAATGCAGCCGGTTTAGAAGCGCCCCAAGGATGAATTTTTTAACGGGCATACCTACACACTTGATTATTTGGCCAATTATTTGTTCTAAATATTGAGCATATTAAGCAAACCCTTTGTTTTTAAATACCTTTTCATTCAAACAAATTTTTTGATTAATATTCTTACTATTTAGCACAAATGCTTGGAGAAATAATGTTTTAAGAGCTGAGATTATTCTCCAGCAAGCAGAATTGATGTATATTACTACAAATTCTATGTGTCAAATTATAACTATTATTATATATATATGTTGAATTATTATTTTTCAAGTACCATTATTTCGAGACTTTATTGTTTTAACTTTCAAGAAAATTTGTTATTACTATGTCGAGTTTTTTAAGATTCCAATACTTGTATTTGTTCATAAATCACAATCAGCGCGCTGCACATTGTTTTTTTATATCGTGCTCGAGAGCGCAAGAGACTTGAATCTTGAAATAAAGAATCTTCTAAGTCCGATATTACTTGCCGTCTGTCCTGCGCATAACAATATAACTGTCCATGTTGAGTCTAAATAGTAGCAGGCGTTATTGAACAATTGTTAATGGCAATTGAATGAGTGTTGTATAAATTATGCAACATTATACGAATAAAGCTTACGATGCGTATCGATAGTCATAATGCTCGTGCTTATCAATATATTTCATTTATATGCGAGCATACAATAAACCAATCATAATTACAAAGTTCAAACAAATCAACATTTCGATGCTGTACGTTTACAATTGTTATAAACTATCTATCTAACAAAATTGTATTGTTATGCGTTCTGTTTATATATATCTTCCGATATGGATAATGAACCCGATTCGCTTTTTTGTATCGTAAATAACTACCAAAACTTGTCCATTAACATGTCAAGACTGCATACTATGGCTTTGCATGCCAACTTTCTGAAACAATTGGATGGCCCTCAGTGCTTGCTCCACATCCTCTCCGTGATGATAATAGGGCTACTGTATGATCTCGATCCACAAATCGCCTTTTTCATGATCCCTGTCGACGATATTACAGCACAAACCAAGTATAAATTGTCCATCAGAATGACAGACGACTCGACTAGATCGTATTGTGATCGTAAATGTCCCTCTGTGGGCGGCTCACCAAAACAGCAAAATTCTGCCCCCAAACCATACAGCACATTTCCAATCTATAAGAGCTTTTGGATAGTCTAGTGCGGCTGATTTCTCGTACAAATCGACGCTTCTAACACCGGGCAAGCCGAGGACCTTCTGAAAAAGTTTAACTCTTTTCTGGAGTTGCTTTCCGTGTCTATGCTTGTTGATAACAAAGGCCAAGCTATCCCCTTTGGGCTGCTTTTTAAAAAGCTCGAAAACTGATAAATAGTCTTGGCCTCCCGTCAAATAGAACAGGCCAAGACTATATTGTGCTTGTATGGCTTGGTTTGGAAGCAAGATTCGAGTTCGGTGTTGATGGATCCGTTGCGTTGTGATTTGTGCGTAGTGTGTTGTAGTATTTGACTTGTGTATAGTATTTGTATGTTTGCATTTTGGTATGGTATGGTAGTGGGAGGGGGAGGTTGCGTATTTAAGTGTAATTGGCGTCATGATGCTGGACAATTATGCGACGCTTGGGCTATCTGACATTGCTCAGTATCTCTTGGTTGTTAAGATACTGCTTGCCCATTATAAGTTGTCACACATTCTTTTTATTGACAAATCTTGCCTTGCCACGTAAATAAGGCCTCACACTATCTTGTGTATCTTTAGCACTTGACCAAAGTTTATTCTCAGCAGGACAAGCTTATGTCGCTCTAAGTAAATGCCCAGCATGGGAACATGTTCAAATTATGAATCTACATAGGGACGCATTCAAAACTGACCCCGAAGTAATAAAAGAATACCAACGCTTACAACAAATAGCCAAAGATTTGTCAACTCTCCATACGCTCACAAAATTAAAATACATTAATAAGTATTATAATTGATTAAATATACAATATTTAAACTATTATTAAAAGAAATATAAAACGTGTTAACTAAGATATAATACCGTTAATTTACTATTATCACGTCAAACTTCTAGTTAAAACTAAATAAGTTTAACTTGATTAATTATCTACAGACTTTTTGCGATTCGTTATTAACTGAATCCATTTTTTGGTCTACTTGCTGTTTCTTAATTATAGACGCAGCGATACTCCCTGCTGTCACTTCTTTTGTAGCGACGGCGGTACTGTTGGAGGCGTGGGACGTTTGCTCTTTGTGATCTTGACCTTGTGATTGTAACTGTTGATCTTGAGAGGGGAATTGCTGCTGAGGAGATTGTTGCTCTTCTTGGTTTTGTTGTTGACGTATATAATTGCGGAATGCTTCTTTTATTACGTCCCAATTAAATGAGTATTGATATCTTTCAAATTGCCGTGGTATACTATTGGCATAAAGATACTTTCTTTAATATTAAACTTCCACTGATTCCCATCTTCGTCTTGGTTGAGAACATTGGCGACGACGAGTTTGACCAACTCATAAAAATTTTACTCGTTCTTAGAAAGTTTTGTTCTGCACGTTTTGCGAAGGATAATTTGATTGTCGCTGTATCTTTGGTAGACCAGGGATTATAAGAACGTACCAAATCATCAGATCGAATTCCAACAAAAGAGAAATCCTAAGACATTGCATATAATAAACTTCCGTAAATTGGACTGCGGCGTTTTTCTGAGCAGCAGTTATAGGGTGTGCGTCACTGTTACTTCACATACTGGTTTTTCTCCCTCCCGTATATATTCAGAAACTGTAAGCGAAAGTTTTAGTCCGTTATTGGTGACAGACGGTACGCTCGTAACCTTTCTGATAAATTTAGCATCATTGGCGCTTCGGGACAATCTGCAGTGAGAAAATTACCATATCGAATGAATTGTCATTAACCAAGTACGAGAACTTTCCGTGGACAAAATACAGGCGTGCGTTTGATCTCTTAGTCGTGTCGTTGTTAGAGAACTTTGTTCGTAAGTTGCAGCAAACTGTCGTATACGCGTAATAGAGCGTGGCGGCAAAGAATTTTTTGTCTTTAAACATTGTATTTGCGTAATAAACCGTGCTCACACAGCGCAATTGTTCGTTGTCTGATGAATTGTTCGTGTGATCTAATGTGGCGACATTGTTGTTTGACAGCTTGCTTGTATCGGTTATAAAATTGGGTTGTTTGTAACATGTTTAAGATAACGTTTGTATTTGCACTTTGGAGAGAGAGAGAGATTGCTGAAAAGCGACGTATGCAATGATGTGGGAGAAACCCCGAGTATATATGTGAGTAGACGCGTGTTTGTGTGCTAGATGACACGGTGTCTTTTGTTATTAATCGCGTCATACAAGTGTAAATGTTGTTATTGTTATTTACGTAATAAGGGGTGTGAAAATCTGCCAAGGAGTAACATTATGGCATAATATTGTCGCGATTGTCGTAATTGTTTCCGTAAAGAAAAACAATTGTATCAGTGTAACATCTCGGAGTACACGCAGTAAAAAGTTTTAACTGGCTACAATTTATAATTGTTAGGGGTTAATTGGAAAGTCAAAGACTTCACCACACCTCGTCATTGTGTAAACAACAACAAACATTTACACTTATAAGGGATACAGACAACGCGATTGATGACATGAGTTTACTTGTTATCTAACGCGCAACACGCGTCTATTCACATATATATATACTCAGGGGTTTTTCCACATCGTTGCATACGTCGCTTTTCAACGATCTCTTTCTCTCTCCAAAGCGCAAATACAAACATATCTTAACATGCTACAAACAATCCAATTTCTTATAACCGATACAAGCAAGCCATCAAACAACTTACATACGAACAATCCATCAGACAACGAACAATTACGCTATAATTATCAAAAAGGCAATACAATGTTACTTAATACGAACAATTTTTTGCCGTTACACGCCCTATTACGCGTATACGACAGTTTGCTGCAACTTACGAACAAAGTTCTCTAACAACGACACGACTAAGAGGTCAAACACATGCCTACTTATACATATGACGTCTAGGCATATCGCTTTACAACGTCCTTCCGCCAAAGCAACAAATACAACAAACGTCTTTACCTTACTCCATATTACGCGTATGCGACAGTTCGCTTACTACATCTTACGGTCAAGTTCTCTAACCGAGAATACGACGTTATCGACCGCTAACTGATAGAAGGGCTCAAGCACACGTGCATACACGCCCGGGTGCTTATCTATTAAATACCATTTTTCCTCCAAAGCATAAGACAGCAAGCAATTTTTCTCTATATTATGGGCACATACGACAATTTGATGCAGCTCACGAGCAAAGCCCTCTAACATCGACACGATTAATCGATCACAAACTGATGGGAAGTTCAACACGCCTATTACCCAGACGTTTCTCTTTATTACTTCCAATGCGTATATACAACCAACAATTTGTTACATACACCATATTACTGCACATACGACAGTTTTCCAACAACGATGGATTATCGACCACAGAAGCGATGAACACACGTCGACTTATATTCCCTAATTCAAAACGTAAATACTACACTAACGATACAACGGACAATCCTTTGCCGCGTAGTTACCCCCAAACAAACGTTTAACACTCAATTCAATTTTGCTCTTTTACATTAACGTTTGTTAGATGGGTAAATAATATAACTAATTTTATTTAACAACTTGCTATTGCTCTTTTTAAACCCGGTTCACTAGGTGGCTACTCTCCTTCGTCTTTTCTGGTGGATGGGCGCGGCTAAGAATATTTACTAATCAACATCTAAAATATATAATAAATATAATAAAAATATGTAAACCATCATGCTTGAGTCTAAAATTATTCCCTTCTTCGATAAATATCAAATTCCTAACGAGGTGATAGTGGTCGCTTATCTGGATCGGGTGGTGGGTAGTTACCGGTGACGCCCCTCTACTCACCCCTTTTACCAGTGCTCGCCTGCGGTGAAGGGATCCTGGCATGGATCTGTTGAGTGGGTCATGGGGGATGCCCGGAACACTCTCAGACATCTCCCTTTTTTCTTTTCTTTTCTTCTTTTTTACAGCTTTTAGATGACGGGAAGAAGATTTTGGTAAGTATAAGGTGAGTATTGCATTGTTTCGCGTATAACTAACTTTATTTTCTATTTTCTTTTTCTTTCTTCCCCTTTTTTCTCTCTCCCTGGTGGGTTTGCTGGGTGATTGGATCCAATGGGACTCTGGTGGAAGTGGAGCTGAGTTTGAGGGACTGATTCGGTGGTTACTTAGCCGCTTGTGAAGGATCTGTCCTTGAAGCTGGTTAAGATGAATGGTGAGTTTGCTGCTTGGCATGCCGATGGGAGCAAATAGTTATTTATTGCTTATCTACCCGTCATATTATAATCTTATGTATATATTGTTAGGTTATTGTAACAAATTATTAGACATATAAATTATTATATGTGTAATACTATTTACTATACAATTAATCTTAATTTTCATCTAAGACAACTACAATTCTAAATAATAAAAGTAATTGACATTCACACCCGTTCAAACACAGAAAAAGTTGTCATTTACAAAATATGCCATTTGTCGATATCTAGTTTTATTCATTAAATGGGCGTAAAGGCTGAAATAATTACATAGATTATTCAATTTATAATACTTACAACACGATTATAATAGAATTGTTAATCGTCATTATATTTGTTTTCAACCAATTTTGTTTTTAGAGTTTGTTATGATAATTCAGCTGTACTTACAATGTGTGATGAAAAGGTAAAAGTACATAGAATTAATGGTGCGAGTAAACAAATGTAATTACGCATTTACTGTTGCTTCTATGACAAGTTTGCATCAACTTTTATTGTATTAATGCATTAAGGATTAAGTTTACAATCTCTTGATCACAATATTTTTATAACTCAAAACATATTGTTCCGAAGAAAATTTTAGCAAGCGAGCGCTGCATTATATTTCAAAAAAAAAAGTTATGAATTAGCTTATGTAAAGTTCTTCCCAACTGAAGAGCTTTATTCAATCCTTTGATTAAATTTAGAGTTTAGATTGATAGCTTTAGATCGTAACGTTATAAAGACTGTACTGATGAGAAATTTTTGCTTATAATCTCCATACCGTTCTGATTTCACAACGTGCTATAATTGATCATCGAAAATGTTAAGCAATATACACTTACTGGACAAAGTCTGTGTAATCAATTAGTAAAAAACATAAATTAAAATTTTTTGAAAGTTTTATCTATTACTAAGCAAGCGACAAAGTTAAACATTATGAGCTGCAAGAGTGAGGATATATATTACACACATATACACTATTTTATATGATTTACGTATGTGTAACCGGCAAGGCTTAAAATCCGCTTTGCAGAGATTTACATTACTTGTTATAATGTCTAAATGCAAATAGCTAAAAGCAATTGTTGAACAAATGCTGAAAATGTTGGTTGATTAGGAAATTACGACTACATATATTTTTCTTTCAGTTTACTAACTAGATTTTTAAATATTTTAAATAAATTAATAATATTACTGACTACGCGTATTACACTATTAATTTCTTTAAACCAATTGATTATAATTAGGTGGGTTTACTATCTGTATTATTAAATCTACATATGCCTTTCTTTCCTTCTGTCATTATTTACCGAATCTTTTTTTGTGGCGTAAGTTACTAAAATCATTCGGGCCAAACTTTTATGCTTGTAAATTAAACTAATAATCACATCAATATTGGGATAATAATTATCAGTTAATTGTTTGCATCTCAAGATAATTTATTATTATTTAGATTATGAGCCACGACTTTAGTCAGCGCGGTAAAATTTTTATAAATTAATATGAATTCTTAGTGACTTACGTTCGTATTCTAATAGTACAATAACCGCAAATATGCAATTTGTATACTGGAAAGCTTATAATAAACGCAACAGTAGAATTTCAGTTACGCAATAAACTGAGATTATAATTAACAGTTACTTTACGAGCATTTATACGTACGTATAAAACAAAGGCGGCGTGTTCTTACTAGTTTGCCTCCACATAGCATTTCATTTCTATTGTTTGTCATAATGTCCTAAGGACTGTTCCAACATTCATTCAGATGGATTGGGATCGATGTAGAAGCTACAGAGATAAAGTCGAGTCGCTATCGCTATAAAACGTAATAGTAAGTTGATGGATACAACTGATAAAAAAGCGAAAATATTGTTGCTTTTCAAGACTGGACTGTATTTGCAAAATAGCCGCAACATATCTCATGACCAGTACACGCACTTTTAAAAAGTTGATGAGTAGTTTTTTGTATTTAATAATATATTTAATTTAATAAAGGTGCATAGAAATAGACAAACAATATATCTCACTATACCTCCTCCAAATGTTGCTATTTATGCAAATACAAACTTTTCTTCACTGTCAATATAATTTTCTTGAGACTCCATAAAATTGTGATTGTATCCAACAAATATTTTATCAGCATCTAATACTTTTCAAATAGTCTTTTCATCACTATACAGCACAGATCCATAAAATTTAGTTTATTGTTAAGCCTAAGAACTCATTATCATAGACAATATTGAGTTATCTCATATACAACTAAATTGTGGTCAATACAGTAATAATAAATAAGTAATACAACAAAACAACATATTTATCAAATATCAATTATGACAACATAAACTTCAAATTACCTGACCAATTCAATTTAAAACACTTCCCAATCAAACCATTCAAAAGAATCTAATGAATTTCTTATTGAAACTTGGTATGTGCCTTTTTTGCTTATTCCCTTTCCAAACCATAAATCATAACCTCCTTTCCCAAAGGCAGGAGGCCAACTTTTTTTATCACTAATAGCATGTGAACTATCATTACCAACAAAACTTACTATATTTTTATTAAGATTTTTATCTAATGCAAAGATAAAACTTTCTTTAGTATCAATATGGCCATTTGTGGAACCCCATGCAAATGGATTATATCCACCAAGCACTTCTTCAGTACTCAACACTTTCCCAACAGCAATTGTGGGCCCTTTGTTATTACACAATTCTCTAAACTTGGCAACTGTATCACCATCCCTACTTTTTCTGTAAAGTAGGGTAAATTTATAAACATTATTTTGCATTTTAGAGGTTCTTTGATTCTGCCTTGTTGATTCTGCAATCTTTGATGAGATCCATCCTGCTTGCTCTCTATTAATAATAATTGAATCAATCTCACATCCTTGTCTTATTCTTGGTGGTAACATGTTGCTGCTTGGTTTGTAATCTTTATCCAAGTTATAATTGAGTAAATCACGACACAACTTTCTTGGTAATAAATCATAATATAAAGCAACCTTGTTGGGAGGAATGTTGAAAAATCTTATATGAGGAATAAAATCTGCAATAAGATCCTTGACTGCATTAAGGTGAGTGGATGACCAGTCATCTGGATCAATTCCAAGTTCGAGTTCAGGCACTTGTTTAATAGCCCATTGAATGACTGACACCCAAATATCATTTTCAGCCATACTAAGCTCGTCACTTTTGATCAGAGTGATCAGAGTCTCCTTTGGTAAAGTTGCAAAATCATTTGATTTAAAGATAACATCAGGATGGGAGGCCATAATTCGATTACAGTAGGCCAGAAGTTTGTTTAAAGAGGTTGTGGATGCTGCAAACTTGTGAACTGTGATGATATTCTGTTGAATCCATTCACTTTGCTTATCAATCAAGTACGTTTCAATTACAGTAAGGACATCAAGTAGTTCAAGCTTGTTAGCACCATTCAAAAGACTTATCCAACCAACGTTCTTGTATGCATTACCGGACAATCGCCCAGTGTAAATGTACCTGCAATGAGTCGTGATGTTGCAAAATAAATATTGAGTATTTACATTGTACAGTACATACGATTTGTGTGCATCCCTATGAAATTTACCTAAGCAATATTTCAAAAACGTCAGGAGTCATGTCTTCAAGTGTTATAGCGGCGGCCTTTTGAATATCTTCGGACGTCTTTGTATTTCCGACTAGATTATTCTCGAGAAATGTGCTTCTCGTACATAAGATCAATGTATGAGCGAGAAATATTTTGGTGTTTGGCTCGCTTCCAACACGGATTGAGATATCTGTGTATTTGCCATTTTCGTAAAGCCTCTCATAGTCAGACGAAAGGGTCGAGGACAAATCAACAAGGTCATCCATGTTCGGGTGTGGTATGTGAAAACGTCCACGTCCTTTTTTCTTTTGATTTTATCGATTGTCTGTGCAACATATGTATCGAATGACAATCTTTTACGTACGTCATCAAAAACTTTGCTGCGCAGACCTCGGCTTATAGCGATTGTCTAGTGGATAGTGCCTGGGTTTCAGCATATGATAAAGAATAAATCTTGCAACAACAGCATGCATGTCATGTCAGTTCTTGCAACTAATACTAAGTCATGTGTTGTTTTAAATAATTTATCTTGATACTTACGTTGTTGTTATGTTATACTAATACGTCTTCATTAATAACAACCAAAATTTAACAAACAATGAGATAATGGTGGGTGTGGTGAATAAACATTTACTGATTAATACTGTGAATATACCAATGATGACAGATTGTCTTAATGACCAAATGATTGTCTCTATTACTATGGTAATAAACATTGTCATTTCTGCTTAACTTTCTGCTATCATTGAGCAGAGACATGCATCTTTACAATACACTTTATTTAACTACTTGATGCACTCCATCACCCTTATGCTTATACTTATTATTCACTAAGTATTTATATCAGGAAATTTTCAGAATTCTGTTAAATTTCAACATTATAATAAGTATTCAGCATTCTAGAAACACAACTAACAACCCAATCAATGCTTCCCATTTGATTAATCCTACAACAAATATTAATATGTGGAAATTGAAATTGTCACTATGGTATTTTCTGAAAATATTTTTTTATTATTGTATACTTACTTATTACTCTCATTCTCATATTTCTTTTAAACTTCTACTATCTTTCTCAACCATGTTGGTTGCTGAGTTAATACAATG